GAAGACAAGAAGAGCCCTGAACTTTGGTGCAATATCTGACATGAAACCAGTGTTGGAAGCAAACCAGTCGATGTCTCCTTCATTTCCGGTGTAGACGAAGATGGGGCCACCTTTGCGCCAGAAACGACGGTTGATGAGGTACTTCTGGTGGAAGACTTTGTAGCTCTCTGGTCTGAAACTGAAGTGGTCAAGATTCTGAGGGAAGTAATGAGTCTCAAAAGGTAACTGTGATTTTGACTTGGAGGTCTTCTTCTTGTTTTGTCTCAGAGAAGAAGAAAGATGGTGGAAACCTCCTGGAGGATACGTTGTTGCTTCTGCAAAAGTAGTAAAGAACAGGAGCAGTAGGCACAAACAAGCATACATGTTTTTCTCTCTCTCTCTCAAATACAAGCAAGGAGACACAAGAAGAAGTGGCTTTGGTCTTATGCTTATAAAAATTAGTTTTTGCACTCGTTAGATTTTTAGTTTCCCAAGTAAACTGTTTTGGACCTTGTGGAGGGGAAACGTGAGCTGCATCAGAAGAGTTGTACTTTTCAGAACTTGTGATGATGCTTCCTCTACCTCTCCCTCTCTCTCTAGTGTCTAGCATGATGATGACACAAAAGAGTAACAAAAAAATTGAACTTCCATACAAGTGGCCATATGAATCCAAAGAGATCCAGACTCCATATACAATATTTAGTTAAAATCTATGTAGTCATGAACAATACTGCCAAAACAAAAAGGTTGGGGAAAGGTCCCAAGTGAGAAAACCAATGATGCTATGAGATAGGAAAGAAACCACTTTCATATATCTTAAGTTGGTTCGTGATAAGAGTTTTGAAATAAATTGAAACCTCAACACCAATAATTCCACATAAGACATAACAGAACCTAGGAAGTCTAAACAGGTTAATCTTGAATATTCCACAACAAAAGTCACAATCTTTATCAAAAAAACTAGGTACAGCTCACATCACTACATCAGTGTTGTGTCACAAAGTTTGGAGAAAAAGCAAATGAGCACCACAAATGCACATACTCTTTTTCTCAAAGCTGAGAACTTTCATAATTGTTTTGGCCCACAATTTAGAGACATGTGGGTTGCCAAAGAAGAAAATTCTGTAGAATATAGTTCCAAGGTTCAACATATTTAAAACGTAGACCATTTCTTAGATTATGCAACTGTTGAGATCTATCTAATGCTTTTTGGCATAACACAAATGAGAAATGAACACAATGAACTCTGTTACTGTAAAGGCAAAAAAAAAAGGGAAATTGATTAATATTAGCGCTCAAGATGCTTATCATCGCGTGTATGTGGCTCGATCGAACACATAGTTGATGATCATTGGCTCCAATTCCACCAGAAGGTAACGACGTCGAGACCATAGGCACTTTCCGGGAGAGCAAAGTAACTATAAGTTAACCAAAGAGACCATAGGCACGTAACTCTAAGTTTATAGCTAATCAAAGAAAATAATCCCAACGAAAATCAGTACCCCAACTTTGGCCATTTAGCGTATTTTCTTGAATAGATTTATACATTTTGGTTGGTTAGAGTGAAATGTATATTGCAGCGTTTGAAGATACTGCGGCTCTGGTTTGCTTCAGTATCTCGATTTCAATTTATATATCATTATAGATTATCATTTTCGTTTTAAAATAAACTAGATTTTGACCCGCTCAACCGCGCGGGTGTTTGTTTCGTTTATAGTTAATTATATAAACATTTTATTTTCACTTGTAAATTTGTATATATTATAGTAATCACATATTTACGATATGTATAGTAAATGTTTTTCAAACATAATAATATTATATAATACATGTTTTAATCAAATAGATTGTTTCAAATTTTTTATATAATACATGTTTTACAAACATGTGTTTGTATTTTCTTCTATATTTTATTGTTTGTTAGATTAGTATTTCATTTTTAGATAAAATAATATAAATAGAGCTTGATTAAATATTAGTATACTTTAATTTGCAAAGATAATATAAACTTTGAAGAAATTTTTGCTAAAAACTAAACTTATAGCTTCATAAATTAATATTATAAAGAATTTTATTAAAAATGAAATTTTTAAACAATTTTTTTTTTTTAAAACAATATAATTTTAAAAATTTACATCGAAATAAATTTATCTAGTATATATAGCGTGTAAATTTTGTTAGGGTATATAAATATTCCATATTACGAATCTGTTATTTTTGTTAATATATTGTGGATGCATTTAACTATTATTGACATATTTCCTTATAAATAATAGAAAATTCCTAAACTTATATCTATTGACATATTTTGCGAGACTAAGTTGGAAGGTGTGAGGTAATTTACCAAAACCAAATTATTAAGCGTATCTTTGTTATTATAGATATGATTTTTCATAAGAAATAATAATGATAAGATTATTAGAGAGTTAATGTAACATGACTTTCTAGTAATAGTCCGATTTTTTAAAAATCACACATGAAATCAAGTCATGACTTCTGTTTTAATATATAAGATATTATTTTATAATTTTAATGTAACTTTATTAATTTATATGTTATTTTAATTTTTTTGGTTAACTGGTGAGATGTATATGTAATGATGTTTTATTTTAAAAATATATAAAATTAGTTATCTTTTAATCTTTGTGTATAAATGTAAAAGAACAAATAAAATGAAACGGAAGAAATATAACATTCTACCAAAGTGTTTGAGTTTTATTCTACTTTAGTATGAAGTTGTTAAGTTTTCAAGAAACAATACACACATGATGTGTAAAAGCATTTCTTGGAGTAAACTTAACATTAGTTCAAAAAAATGTGAAACGTATATTTACCTTATTAGTAAGTACAATAAATGTGAAATATTTACAATTATAAATTTATAGCATCACTTATCATTAGAATTTCCACTTTGATTAGAAAATCCAGTTTGTACAACCTATATTTCTGTTCGTATAATTTGCGTAAAATAACTACAATTATGGATGGTGACATATTTATTTCAGTATCCAGACATTTTGAGCTATACTAGTGACATAATTTTACCAAATTAATGAAGTTGTGTGACCATTTTCAAAAAAAATAATTGGGTCAAATATAATTCTAGGGGGTGGTAGTGGATTCATGTTTTTAACTGAATTTGAAAGAATTCCTAAGTAATAACATTTGTGGTATTTTAAAAGATTTGAACCGTTACAAACCGGAATAAACCAAGTTGACCTAATTGTTAGTGATTAATTTTTTTGGGCTCTTGGGTTAATTCCCTTGGACTGCCTTATGTGCGTGCAATGCAGCTGCTGAGAATTCTTTGATTTCGCTTAAAACAGATATGGTCTTCCTTTGACCAACAAAGCACATCAGATGGATTAAAGACCTGATAAGAGAGCCAAACATTGTCTTGATTCTTAAGCTCACTTTCAAGCGTCTATATATGTATGTCATCTGGAAAGAAAGAAACTCTCGGCTACACAACCAGGTCTGCTCCATCACTAATCTCGAATGTTTAACTTAATTATTCTTAGGGCCAAGCTTGATTATGTATCGTGAGCTCATAGGAATCGGCGACTTTTCTCTCTACATTGTTATAGTTGTTTAGTAGTTGATTCATTTTGTAATTTTTATTATGCGGATCGTGTTGATCTGAGGTTTTCAATACTGTAATCCTGTGGGATGTTAGGAAACAATGTTTACAAGTAATTTTTTTATTTCAAATTAATGAAAATAAATTAAAATCCTGAGTGATATTTTTAGTTGAAAGAACAACATGACTCCCTTGAGAAGAAAATAGGTTAATCAAGTTGCATAGTCACATAATCCAAGAAGGAAAAGTCTATGAGACGAGCACAACTTCCCTTAAAGCCATGATATGGAAGCTGAAGACAACTTGAAAAATAAACCACTTCCTATGGCAAGGTCTTTCAGAAGGCATTGCGACTTATAGTCAACTTGCGGACAGACACTGTGGGACAAACCGCATTTGTACTAGATGCGGTACTGGCGAGGAAACAGTAAACCACTGCTTGTTTTTATGCCCACCCGCCCTCCAGACCTTGACCCAATCAGATATGCCGTCGTCTCCAGGTTGTTTCCCGAGTGATTGTATGGTGGAAAATTTCGACTATATACTTCTCCGGAAAAAAGAAATGGGCGATCCTCCTGAGAATGTGTTAGCACGATTCCCATGGATAATGTGGTTCATATGGAAAGCACACAACGAGAAGGTGTTCACTGGAAAAGAAATTACCGCCCCGGATACCGTAAGCCCAGGCCTGGCCCAGTCTAGATTGGTGCCTAAAGCAAAATCAGATTTGGCGCCCTCTGTTGTTCGAACCAAGCACCATAAGCTCAGTTAATGAGCACACAACCACTATGATACATGAACAATTTGCTTGTTTTGATGCCCATAAGTATATATCATAATTTGGCGCCTAAAGCTGGTGCTTCCCAAGCTTTAGATCAGGGCCGGCCCTGGGTAAGCCATGCAACTCAGTTACCGAATCGCACAAGTGTTACCAACTTATAAAACACCACCGGTTCTGCCTTCATCGGGAAACGAAGGCGTTTTGAATGTATCATCATTCCCTTGATGCCAAGTGGATGCATCCTGAGTGACAAATTCAAACGCCTTCGGAGGTGGGTTTGTCTTCGACTTCGAGCCAAGTTCACATGTCTACGGTTCCATTTGGATGAACTACGTTTTATCCTTTTTGCATGCAGAGTTTAATATCTTATTTTGTGTAATGAAAAGTTCTTTGCAGGCAGGTTTTCCTCTGATGTCTTTTGAATTAGACTGTCTTCAGCTGGTGAAACTGATAAATGAAAAAGAAGATTGGTCAAATTTGGTTTCAGAGTGGAATGAATTCACTTATCTGGTTTCTAAGTTTATTGGTTTCTATCTTTTTTATTGCACGTAATCATAATGTGAGAGTCGATCTCCTTACAAAAAGAGTTCGTTCTCAAAATTCTATTATCTCCCATATAAATTATTTGCTTCCGAGTTAATCTTTTCGTCTTTTTTTTTGATCAAACACAATATTTTATAAATCACCACACTCCATCTAAGGAGGAATTGTTTACATCAATACATAACTGAGCCATACATGCTAAAATCTGCTGCAACAAGTGCAAAACAGAGAACATAAACTGAAATACAAAGGATAGTAGCATACAAACATTCAAACAAACAGAGTCATTGAGCAGTCCTCTAAACTCAATGACAAGATTGCTAGAAAATGAGATGATGCCTTCAGAATCAGAGAACACATTCAGTGATCTAATACCTGGGATTGAATTTGCAACTAGTGCAGAATTATCAATCAGAATTTTGGCTTTACAATCAAGAGCAACAAAGCACTGATTTAATGAGCCTTTTATCATAACAAAAGACACAGCATTTGTAACTTTCGAATAAGAATTCCCTGCAATGTAACCACCATAAACAAGTGGAAAATATAGGAGAGAAACATGCTCCATAAAGGAGAAACCAACCAAAACTACTTGAGAAACAAGACTGTATACCACAGTATGGAGTTCCCACAATGCAACAAAGAAGCCATTACCAGGCTCAAAGATATAACCAAAGGACACTGAGTCCAACAGCACATCACAAATTAAAGCACAACCCAATAACTTCAGTGTCACCCACCCGTCTAGCCTTGAATCCCATTCAACAGAAGAGGGGTAAACAGAGAGTGAAGAGCTAAAATGAACCTGGAAGTCTATAAGCGGATGGAGAAAAGGAAGGCTGGAATAAGAGTTAAGAGAAGACCCATTCACAAGCTGGAAAAGATACGACCTGTATACCACAGGAGAGGAACACCAGTAGACAAAGATAGTCTCAACAATGAACTTAAGAGCAGCTCCACCACCACTGAGCTTAGTCGAAACCCTTGACAGATCTAGGATTTGAGTAGCTTGTGGAGAAGAGCTAGAGGATGTGACGAGGATTCGAAGAAGAACGTGGCTGACGGAGGCATCTGGTGGGTCTGGAGGTTCTGGTGGATCGACGGGAGATTCAGTGAGATGGTGTCTGTTCGGCGGCGGATCTGGAGGAGGTCTGGACTGTGAAGGAGGGCGAGCTGTCACCATCATCTTCAAACAGGAGGAGCAGTACTGCATCAAGCCAAAGAACGAGCGACGGAGCTGGAGCGATAGAGATCCATCTAAACGGCGCTTCTCGGAAAGCGTGCCTGGGAGAGTTAATCTTTTCGTCTTGAATTAATAAAACATAGTTTAGTCGGAAAAAAAGGTAACATAATCCAACGAGGCCGGTTGAGAGAGACAAATGGAGAAAGATAGTGAAAATCCATGATAAATGCTTCATCCTTGTACATATGTTTAGATGATAATGAGCATGACATGTCAATCACTCACTTAGGAAAAAGAAGACGAAGAAGCTTTTTCATAGAGTAAACTAAAAAGATAAAATAAAAAAGGGGATGTGAATGCATAGTTATGACTGCTTTTTCTTAATATAACAGTTAGAAAAAAGTGGTGGTAAGGTTTATTTCTAAATAGTAAATACAAATGAAATTGAAATATTTTACGCCAATATGCATGAAAGTCAATTCACCTAAGTGCTAATCATGATGAATTATAGTTCTTATAATATGCTAAAACTTAATAATTACAATAGAAAGTTGATACAAATTAAAATAATATATAAATATATATATATATATATAATTAACTAGGTAATTCTCTTGTGTCTATGCACAGAAATAAATATTTACAAAATAATCAATTCATAATCAATTCATAATAATTGTTAAATATTTGTTTTCGTTGTTTATAACTTTTAAGTAAGTTTCTAATTAATATTTATGATGAATAAATAAAATTTGAAAGTATCATTATGTTCTCATGTATTGATATAATATTTACATGTTGGCTTATAAGTTATAAATCCTTTTTAATTTATATTATGAAAAATAATGTTGTATTAAGTTTCCTTATGTTCTATTCTTAATAAGATATGTGATTTAATGGCTTTCATGTAAAATTTCTAAATTATTGTTTAACAAATGTTTTGCAAATTATGATATATGTATAAATATACATATTTAAAAAGGTTTAAATATATTTTCGTTTTCATTTATGTTGTTTAGGGAAAATATAATTTTGTTAATATATATATAAATATTTATTTTATTATCTATATGGTTTTCGAAAAATAATTAAATTTAAAAATATAACTAAAATTTTATTAATAAAAAAGAAATAATTTTTTTGTAGGGTTGGGGGTTATTTAATGAGTGTTTTTAAATCAATTAGTAATGTTTTGTTATTCATCAAAATTTAAAATTGTAAGAAAATTTAAGTTGATAGATTCTAAAATCTTTACAGTATGTTTTGTTGCTGTTAGAAATGAGAGATGAGGGATTTATCTCCATTTCATAGTCCATAATACTTTTCATGTTATTTAAGTTAAATTATTATTCCAAATTTCCAAACAATGAAGGTTACATGATTGATCACTATAATCGATTTTTTTTAGTTAAATAAAATCATTGATTATTTAGTTACAAGAATCATTGATTTTGTCATGTTTAGTTTTTCAGTAGTAAGGAAATTATTATTTCTTTTTGGTGAAGACCAAGCTTGTACAATAATCACCTACCAAATAAAAAATTAATAGAGAAAGATGGGTGACTGAACTTAAACTCACACACTCCACACCTTGACAAAACCTATGTGTAAGTGTAATCTCATATTTAGTTAAACCAACTAAGCTTATTTCTTACAACAACAATCTCGAAGGATATGCTTACTTTTTGACGAGTTTAGATCAACGTACTTTTTTGTCCAAAAAAGAAAAGAAGAGATTAAGAGATTTGGTGAAAGAGAGATTTTGAGATTTAATAGTAACAAGAGAGTAAAGAGACTCAAGATTGCTTAGCTTATTATTAAGGTCACCTTTGCTTCCACCAAATAAGCCAATAGAGCCTTCCTCCTAAAAAAAAAAAGATCAACGTACTTCACTTTTTTTTTTCTTGTAAACTTTTTTTTTGGGGAAAATGTTTTCTTGCAAACTTCGTAAATATTATGTATATTAATCGATTTATAGGACAAAACAAGCAATGATTCAAGATTTTTGTAGAGATTCGGTTTTTCATCAAAAAAATTCATTTCGTCATTCATTTCACCACGTTTGATGATCGTATAATATTTTTCCGGCGATTTTACAGCACTAGGCAGCACACTTTTTAACAGGACTTTTAAGTAACAATTTTTGAACAAAAAAAAAGTTAAAATAAAATTTAGTTTTAATAAATTTATCTGAAATTATCTAGAAATATATGAGAGCAATATGTCTTAATTTGAATTACAACGCTAACAACTCATAAGCCAATAATGTTGTTTTATCTCCTTTGGCATTAGTCACTCTAAACAAAATATTCTAAGGCTATGGTTTGTTCCCAGGGTTAATTCAAGAGTGTGATTGATTGGTACCAATTTGGTGGCTTGTGGGGATATTGATGTTATGTTATGGGTTTTGTGGTCCTGTGAATTAATCACTCTACACGTTTTTTTTTCCTTTCATTATCCGAATGAATTTGTGGTTCCTCGATCTTCTGAACTACCAAAAATAATGTGATGAGATTTCTCATCTACCTTTCTTCCCATCTCTTCACCTACCGATTACCCATTAGTTTTCCAGTAAATTAATATGATATATCAGTAAATATTTGTTGTAGATCCATTACAAGTTTCTGCCTTGGTTTCAAAGTCCAAGACCTAAGCATCAAATATAGTGTTGACGGTTCAAAATTCATCTGTTTATCTCAAAACTGAAAATTATAATTATGCACACGACATCATAATAAAATTAAAGAGACAAATAAAACGTGTAAGGCCTTGAATCAAACAACAACTTCCAATTGCAAAACCGCTTTTGGCATTATCCACTATCCAGTGTCATCGTTTTTTTATTGAGTGAATTGGGTAGAAATCCATAAGAAAATGGGAAAATAGGGATTTGCCATTTTTGGTGGGGAAAATAGTAATGTGTGGGGAGGAGAGATAAAGGAAAAAATAAGGTATGAAGTGAATTATGAGGTTTAGTATATGTATGGAGTGCAAATACTCTTTTTTCTTTGCCATTTCGTTAATTACTAATTTTTAATCGTCGTTACATAAAAAATTTATTGAAAGTTTTTTCCTGTTTCAAAAATGTGTTGGAATTAAAATCTTTAAAAATGCGTGAAAACACATAGGCAACACATTATTTCTTAAGAAAATTATTTTAAACATGCGATGGAAATTTACATTTCAATTTAAAGTCACGATTCTTATTCTTATTTGGAAACATAAAGAATAGCTACTTATTATCTAATAATTAGTTTTAATTTATTTTGTGTACTTACCATAAAATGACTATTTAATCATTTGTATTTAATGTTATTTTGGTGTTTGTTCTCATTTCTCTATAATGATTTGATTTGAGTTGGATTCATTTATGTGGATAACTACAGTTAAACCTCTACCGTTATAGAGATATTAATTTATCAAAGTTTTTTTATTTAGATTTTTCATTTTAAGATATATTTATTCTAAAATAAGCAAAGTATTTTATTTTAGTGTATAGATATCTGTTATCATTTTTTGAAATGTGACATTTATATTAAATGTCTTATATTATTGGTGTATATAATATATGTTTCATAGAATTTAAATTTGGTTTCAGATATAATATTACAAAATCTCATCAACAATATATTAAGTGTCAAGAAAATATAAAGATAATTTCACGGTAAATATAAAAAAATAATATAATAATACTTTCTTACTTATATAGAATATGTATAATATAAATTATTAATTTATAATTTTAATGTGACCATATATTTACATAGAAGTTTCTAAAAAAATATTATCTTATTATTTTATCCATTTGTGTCAAATTTTGAACCGGTGCAAGTTGAGACCGGAAAAATTTATTAACTTAGAAAGATTATTAATTTATCGAGTATTAATTTATAGAGGTTCTACTGTATTATAAAGCAATCATGTATTACCTTTCAAAAATATTTTTTTGCACTGGATATATCATCATTTAATTTCTATTTTATCACAAATAATAATAAACTATCTCCAACATATGCGGGTTTGATGAAAAAAAATTACAAATAATTTTCATGACAATGCTTTCAAAAATTTGTATAGAGCCAAAAAATTTTAAACTGAAATATGTTAAACTTTAGAAATCAGTGTTTTCTAGATATTTTATTTAGTACTTTGGATATTTTTGTAAATAATTCACAAAAAAAAAATTACACTTACAATATCTATAAGCTAAACTGTTTTATTAAAAACTAAAACTATAACACCAATATTTTTTGCTTTTCATTTACTGAGAAATTCTTTTATGGAATCTAGAAAGAAAAACAATATTTCTGTTACTTGGTTTTCTCTTTTAGATAAACCAAACAAATTACAATTTGAATTCACAAGTTGTCAATTGTATAAATTCATAAGTTGTCAATTTGTATGTATATAAATATAAATATATATAGACATTTTTTGATAAATATAAATATATATAGACATTTCTAAAACATCTGAAATTCTGATTTTTTAAAACCCGCATTTTTCACTTCCGAAACGTTGATTTCATACAACCTAGAAAGATAACTGGTTCACCATAAAAATATATAAAAGAAATTCCACATGAAACACCATTAATCTGTATACAAAATTTTAGCTAGATTCTAATATACTAGTGTATAATACCTTTAAAGAAATAATATTAATAAAACTTAATTTATAATGTTTAATTTTGTTGATAAGTTTATATATCATGATATATATAGTAGATATTATATCTTATTTGGTAATAGATATTACATATTACGTGGTAATCTCACCTTTTTATTTTCTTTACGAGTACCACAACACATATTCATTTTTTTCTTTTATAATCATATTTATAATTAAACTTATATGAATGTGGTTATATATATTAATTGATGTAAGAATCATTAATTCGTCTATTAATTTAACTTGTTTTATGTTAGTTCTTATATGTTTTAAATGTTTTCATAGTTTGATAAGTCAATTCCTCTTCTTTTTTTCTTGCATTGGTTTAAATTTCTTACATCTTTCTTATTGCTTGATTTGAATTGCTTCAAGCAATTCTCATAAGATGCTAAAAGGGATCCATCACATACAATACTGATGACTCGGAATCCAAACTGGATAAGAGTTTAAGCTGGACTATCAAATTTTGGAATGGAATAATAT